GGGAGATAAACTTCAACAGAAAGCAAAGACCAATATGAACATAAAGAAAAGTAACAATGGAACTACTCGACCTGGTTTACCTCCAACTCCTCAACCTTCTGATTCGGAAGAAGATGAACCTCTCCGAAAAAGGCGATCTATGGAACAATGTGAATTAGCAAAAGTGAGTATTGACAAAGAGTTTTTTTGTGCTCATTTTTAATTATAAAACTATCTCATTTTGATTTTTTTTAATCGCTCTCATATATTATAAGACGTATATGCGCATACTTTATAGAGTTGTTTTGCAATGACCTCATTTATTGCATGCATTCACTTTTACACCATTTTTGTTGCTTATCCTTTGAGCAAATAATACCTTCTGAAGATATTCGTTTCAGAATAATGTAATTTTCACATTATTCTAAATAAATGGTTTATATATATATATTAAATTAAAATCATAAACTTCATCTTTTCATTTTTTCTTTAATCATTATTATATACTAATAATATATACATACATATTATTTTTGTATAATTTATATATATATATATATATTATACGTTATATATATTGTATAATAATAATGCAAAAAATATTATTCTCTTTAATTAAAATTTCATCAATCAATTTAGAAATATTTATTAATATAAATATTTAAAAAAGTGAAATTTATCAAATTTATATTAATTTTTATTATTTTTAATAGTTACTCTTGGATGGTACACCACCCCCGAGTCCAGAACCTGCCCGTGTATCAGTGATAATGCGTGCCAATCGAGATGGTACCTACAGTCCTGCCAACTTGATACCAAAGATTACCACAATGTGTTCACAACTAATTCCACATAATTCACAACAGACTTCCAACCTACAGTCCGAACCAACCACGCGGCAGAATACAGTGGAATCGGAGAACATACTGAAGAGTCTTAAATTCAAAATGAGTCTACGGAAAGAAGAGATTATTATAAATAATAAAAATACTGATCGCGAGACTATTCAACCAAAATTACATCCTCTAGCACCAAAACCTGCACCAATCATGGTAACCGGATTGTTAGGATCTCCTTTGGTTCTTCCACGAGCTCCTCTTTTATTAGTCACTGCACCTACAACAACATCAAATATAAGTACTCCAGAATCAGCTATACGACGTCGTGTTTATGAATGTGAACATCCAGGTTGTGGCAAAAATTATTTTAAATCTTCTCATTTGAAAGCCCATACACGGACTCATACAGGTGAACGACCATTTTCGTGTCCTTACGAAGATTGTAATAGACGATTTTCAAGAAGTGATGAATTGTCACGACATAAACGAACACATACTGGAGAAAAGAAATTTGCTTGTCCTATCTGTCAAAGAAGATTTATGAGAAGTGACCATTTAGCAAAACATGTTAAACGACACACCAGAGATAGATCTTCGTCTATCCGCGCCACTAGTGCTCAAACTTCTATCACACAAATGACACCCACACCTTTAAAAGTAAGTTTACTTCCTGTTATAGCACCACGCATAACACAATCAACTCAACATATAATTGCACCGCAATTAACGGTTTAAAAAATATAAAGTATTATATATTTAAGCCGTATCTAAAGCTGTGAATCGAGCTTTAATTATTGCAGGATTGAAAATCATTCCGACATTATGAAAAAATTAATTGTTTTTGATGGATCAAAAAAAAAAAAA